AGTTATTGATAAGGTATAAATTGGTAGTAATAATAACAGGCAAACTTACTGAATATTTATCATGTATCATGAATATTTTCCAGGCACTTTTCTAAACACTTTACATTTCTTAATTTAGTCATCATAATGGCTCTATCCAGAAAGCACTATTATTATCCTCACACTACAGACGAGGAAACTGAAGAAAAGTTAGACAAGTAATGCAAACTCACACAGGTGATAGATGGCAGAGTCAAGATTTAAGACCAGTTACTTTTACTCAAGCATCCACTATTTTTTTTTTTTTTTTTTTTTTTTTTTTTTTTTGGTCACAACTCTAAGGTGTTTCTATGGCAAGTGATTTGACAATATATGATAAAGTCTTGAGAGTACATACTATTTGATCCAATGATTCTACTTCTAGAAGTTTGTCCTGCAGTTTGTCTATTTTCCATCAAATAGATGTGAAATAACACTCATTGCAGCATTATTTGAAGTACAGAAAGACTGGAAACCTAAATATCCATCCCTAGGGGGCTGGCTAATTAAATTGAGGTTCATTCATACAGAAGAATACTAAGCAGCTTTAAGTGGAGTGAGATGGCATTCTGTGTAGTGATATGTAATCATCTTTACAATAGTAAAAGGAAAAAATAAGATACAGAATAGTGTATAGGGATGCTGCTGTCTTTGTGAAAAGCCACAGAGTATATGCATGCATGTTTGCATATATACAGAATATTTTAGAAGGATTCTCAAAGTGGTATCAGGGGTTGTTTGCCAAGAGAGAAATTAGATATCAGGGAATGGGCTGAATAAGGAGATTTTGAATTCTGTACCACATATATGTTTTAACCTGTACAGAAAACAAGCATGTTGTTCTCAAATACAGAATGTTTGCACTGAGGTCACTTGGTGAAGAGTGTAGCCTAGGGTCTCAGACAGACCTGGGTTCAGATTCCAGCACTGCCCAGCCTGCTGAGAAGGAAAGGGGAGCTCCTCCAGCTCCAGACCACATTGCTCCTCCCCAGCTTTGACACTGCTTGGACAGAAGTCAAGTTCTTAGAGCTCTATGTCCTTGGAGCAAGACCTCCTCTCTGCCCCAACCCCCGCCAGCCCTACTCTCCAACCCTAACTGCTGCAAACAGTTCTTACCTCTTTCATACAAGGTCACTGCCTAAGGCCCTTCATCTCCTGGACCCCCATCCCTCTAAGCTCTGTGTTTCCTCTAACTTGACACCTTTCCCCCACTCTCCTCAACTCCAGACACTTTTACTCTACCCTCTTGAGTGAACAGTCCGTCATTAACAAAATCTCCTATAGTCTCAACCACTTTTCCAAACATTCCCTTCACCTTCTTTAGTGGAGAGACCCAGCTCTTCCGGGGCTTATAGTTTTGCCCAGTCCTCTCAAGTGGCGGATGTTTTCTCGGACATACATTCCTACCACTGGTCCTGGAGGTGTTGTAGATATCTTAATGTCTTGCTTCCATCTCACAGCTATTTTGAGACCATTTTATCTTGTTCCTCTCTTTAAAACCCTCTGCACTGATACTCAGTCCATCAGATGTTCTAACTAGCTCCACTTGTTGCAGTCCTCTACAGACACTGGGTCATTCTCTTTCCTCCGTGAAGTCTCTAGCTCCTATCTCACTGTCACTCTCTTCGGCACTGCTGCTGTTATGATTCTATGTGTTTCTGTGGATGTTCTCTTAGTTTCAGGCCTCCTCTCCTTCAAGGATCTTGACCTGCTCTTTACTTCATCCTCCACCTCCTCATACAGTCATCCTTCTAGAGGAGAGGTTCTCAGTCCGTTGTGGTCTCTGGACCAACATCACCAGGATCATCTGGGAACCTGTTATAAACATAAATTGTCAGAGCCCAACTTAGATGACCGAGCCCAAAACTCTGGGGCTGAAGCCCAGAATATGTGTTTTAAGAAGCCCTTCCTGTGATGCTAATGAATATGGAGCTCGTCAGATTTTGTTATTGTCATTACCAATAGCTCCCTCAATCTCAGTTTCAAGCGTCCTACCTCCACCTGTTGCCTTGTCTTTCTAGCTCATCTGATCTACTCCCCCAACTCCTAAAATTCTTCAAACCTACTGAGACCACAATTTATTGCTTCTATTACTTCTTCAGTGGTCCTTACCTACTTAAGTCCTCACTTTCCCCTTATCCAGACATACGTTTGACTACTCCTTGACTCTTTTTTTCTCACACACGGTATTCAAAGAGTCAACCAATCCTGTCTACTCTATCTTCAAAATATAGCTAGACTCTAACTCTTCTTACAACCTCCACTGCAACTATTCCATTCATTCATACAGAAGAATACTAAGCAGCTTTAAGTGGAGTGAGATGGCATTCTGTGTAGTGATATGTAATCATCTTTACAATAGTAAAAGGAAAAAATAAGATACAGAATAGTGTATAGGGATGCTTAACCTGGAAAATCCAAGAGAATAAAGGGAAAACCTGTGATGACCAATGAAAGAATTAAGGGAATGGTTAGGTGTTTGGTGTTTGAAATCAGTAGTTTTGATATATGCAATCAATAGCCAGTTAGGAGACGAATTAAGGGAAGAGACATATTGACAGCAGCAACAGAAAAGATGAAAAACCTAGAATTGTTCAACATTTATTTGAAAGATGTTCGACATGGTACTGAGGAACATAGAAGACTTAATAATATGGAAAAACATACCATATTTCTGTACAGAAAGATCCAGCATCATAGAAGTGTTATATTTCCTTAAGATAATTTATATTTAATGAAATCCCAGTAAAATAGAAGAATTTTTTAAAACTAGACAAATTGATTTCAAAGATTATGTGTAAAATCAAACAAAACTAGATGTGAAAAATTCTTTAAAAGAAAAGTAATAAGGAAGGAGAGACCAGTCTTATCAACCTATTAAATCACATTATGAAACTGTAGTATTTAAAAACATGGTACTGACATATGAATAGATCAATAGATATCAGACTAGAAAGTTCAGAAAGAGACCCAACCACATCCAGAAATTTAGTATATCTAAAGATGGCATTTAAAATCTATGAGAAAGGCAAGTTATACAATGAATTATATTGGGATAAGTGGATAGCCATCTGGAAAAAAATTAAGTCAAATCCCAATTTTACGCTTTCTATAAAAATAAATTTCAGATAGGATTAAAGAAAAGTATGAAATCGAGACTGTAGAAGTATGAGAATAAAAGGGGAATGATAAATACGACACAAAACCCAAAGGCCATAAAGGAAATGATTGATAAATTCAACAATAGCTACAAAAGGATGGAAATTTCCAGCACAGAGAAAACACCATAAGTAAAATTAAAGGCAAGGACACACTGGGAAAAGTATTTGTAATTCATATAACAAATAATGCTAATTTTCTTACTGTACAAAGCACTGCTATTATTAACATGACAAAGAAAATACAAAGAAAGGATTGGTAAATGATAGGAGCTGACAACTCATAAAAAAAGAAAAGTAGCCCTTAAACATTTGCAAAGTTTCTCAACCTCCCTTACAATGACAGAAATGTAAATTGAAATTAGGGTGAGATATAATTTTTCACTTCTTATTCGTCAAAGGTCAAAAAGTTTAAAAATACTCTGGATTTATGTGTATGATGTAAGAAAACAGACAATGTAAGTTATTGATAAGGTATAAATTGGTAGTAATAATAACAGGCAAACTTACTGAATATTTATCATGTATCATGAATATTTTCCAGGCACTTTTCTAAACACTTTACATTTCTTAATTTAGTCATCATAATGGCTCTATCCAGAAAGCACTATTATTATCCTCACACTACAGACGAGGAAACTGAAGAAAAGTTAGACAAGTAATGCAAACTCACACAGGTGATAGATGGCAGAGTCAAGATTTAAGACCAGTTACTTTTACTCAAGCATCCACTATTTTTTTTTTTTTTTTTTTTTTTTTTTT